CTAAAATCGATGGCGAGGAGGGCATAGGATACGTGGTAGGGCTTGATCAAGGGTAATGTAACCTAGAGGAATTACTGAAGCCTGAATGAACACCTAACATGATAGTGGGAGAAGTGGAACATAAAGAGAAATAGAGGAAAGAACTAGGAGGTAAAGGGCATTTAAAGAGGTCTAAATACAGATACACACATATGTAAATATATTTATATATAATGATAAGAAAATAAATCTATGTACATGTATTTATAGGTTTAGTATCAAGGTAGCAGATGGACATTGGTCCCCTAGTCAAGTACTCCCTCAAGGCAAGAACAATTTGTTCTAACAATCCGGCATTCTGTGATGCTTACCTTCTCGACAAGATAGCCGAAGACAAAATGGGTACATAAGCAAATGTGGTGAAGAAAGCTGATGGTGCCTGGCAATCAAAAGATACAGCATCTGGAGTCTTAAAGGCTTGAAGATAAAACAAGTAGCCATCAAGCTGAGAAGCAACAAAGTCTACATGTTTGATCATGAGGTGTCAATGGGATAAGGGATGAGGCATCAAAGACCCAGAACAAGAAAATCATATCATTGTGAATGAGAACCAGTGTGGAATGGAGACCCAAAGTCCATCTAGAGACTATTGGACATCTCCTTACAGAACAGTCACAAGGAAGAGATGAGCCAGTCAGGGTGCAGTATAGCACCATTGAAACATACAACTTTCCTCTAGTTTCTTAATGCTCCCCTCCCACCCCCTACTATCATGACCCCAATTCTACCTTACAAACCTGGCTAGACCAGAGCATGTACACAAATACAGATAAGACATAGGGAACCCAGGACCTATAAACCCTTCAGGATCCATATTGAGAGTAACGGTATAAGGAGGGGAAGGCGAAGGTAGAGGGAGAAAGGAGAACTGATCACAATGATCTACATATAACCCCCTCCCAGGGGGATGGTCAACAGAAAAGTGGGTGAAGGGAGACGTCAATCAGTGTAAGACATGAAATGACAGTAATAATTTATAAATTATCAAGGGTTCATAAGAGAGGGAGGGGGGAGAGGGAGGGGAAAATGAGGAGCTGATATCAAGGGCTCTAGTAGGAAGAAAATGTTTTGAAAATATGATGGCAACAAATGTACAAATGTGCTTGACACAATGGATGCATGTATGGATAGTGATGAGTTGTACGAGACCCCAATAAAATGATTTTAAAAATACAGAGAATATGAATGCAGAGCTTTGAATGTTGCCCTTTCCTCAACCTCCCAACGTCTACCACTCAATAATAAAGTAAAACCTCCCCCGGCTTCCTCTGTGTTCGATGTGCTGGCTGTCTCAGGAGAGTTGGGGTAAAGAAAAATATTTTAGGAAGCCTGCAAGATCTGAATAGAAAGGGAAGCTTTGAGGACATTTGCTTTTCCCTGAAAGTCTTCCCTCCCCGTCTTTCCTCCCGGCTCTGTTGCCAGCTTTTCCTCCACAGCCTCTATGGGCTGCAGTTTTGCCACTCACGTGGTCCGCTTGCTTCCCTTTCTGATCCAAGAACCAGATCACCACAGGCACCTCCCAAGGCTGAGATGAAGGCAACTCCCCATTCAGGGTATACCACACGGGCAGCACCACCTCCGATCCCTCCACCGCTTGCAACGTGGACAGGCCTGCAGGCATCTGCAGCTTCAGTTGGACTCTTGAGGGTGATGCTAGGGGAAAGATGTAGGAGATTTGAGTGAGGAAGGCTGGCTCCTAGCTCACCTCAGCCGGAGGAGTGGGTCAACACAGTCACAGAACAAGAACGAACCGCCCCAGGTCCCGAAAAAGGAGGCCTCAGGGATTGCCCAGGGACCACGGCCTAGGGTTGTACTTTGCATCACTTTGGGATCATTAATTTTTCTCCGGGATCCCTGGGTACTAAAAAGAGTACGCAGACTTCTAGAGAGGAGGGGAAGAAAGCCAGCAGGAAGGGTAGTTAGTACTTGTGAACTCCACTAGCATACTCCCTAG